ATATATATATATATATATATATATATATATATATATATATATATTTATATATACACAGAGTGTTCCCAAAAGGTGGTACCAAATTTTAGGGGTATGTAGTACTCGTTGAAACAAACCAAAAAGTCTTAATGAACAGTACTCCGAAAACCTTTTATTTGTGAGTTATGAAACATTTTATTCTGTGAAAAATAGAAAATAACTAAAATTTACAATAAATGTTTAATGTGCCCTCTGTCCATTTCAACACACAATTCGGCACAGTCGGCGATTCTTCGACAAGATGTTCCAGGATTTTCTTCAATTGTGCGTAAAATATTTTCCTCGAATGCAGGAGTTCTAACAAGTCGCGGTCTACCATACATTTGCTCTGCCATACATAAAATGAATATCCGTCATTTTAGAATTTGTGTAAAAATTAGCCATTTTTCAGATAACACAAAACTAGACACGGTCCACAATCCAAAGTTGAATACAACAATCCCTGCGTAATTAGGTGATCATATACGGATGTCCGTGAATGAACTAAGAGGCTTGGAAACTGTTGTCAACAAATACAAAATAAACCTGGACTCTTTGACCTTCAATGACGAAACATGCCGAAATGTGTATTGACATGAACCGAAGGCACATTGAACATTTATTGTAGATTTAATTTATTTCCTATTTTTCACAGAACAAAATGCTTCATAACTCAGAAATAAAAGGTTTTCGGAGTACTGTTCATTAAGACTTTTTGGTTTGTTTTAACGTACTACATACCCCTAAAATTTGGTATCACCTTTTGGGAACACTCTGTATATGTGTGTATGATATTGAGAATTAAATGATTCGATGTTGACGATTCGATTTCAAATTCTAGTTCTTCACGGCGACATTCGGTATCGAAGCGACACTGAAGCTAATAGCGATGAGTCCGAAGTTTTATTTTCAAGAGGGCTGGAACATCTTCGACTTCATCATCGTTGTGCTCTCGCTCGTGGAACTGGGTCTGGAAGGTGTGCAGGGCCTGTCGGTGTTGCGATCCTTCAGATTGGTAGGTATCGCTTTATCACACATGCTTCGTTATTATCACTTCGACGATCGACGATCGTCTCACGAGCGAAATCTCTTTCAGCTGAGAGTGTTCAAGCTAGCTAAATCGTGGCCTACGTTGAATCTGCTGATCTCCATCATGGGCAGAACGGTGGGCGCGTTGGGTAATCTGACATTCGTGTTGTGCATCATTATCTTCATATTCGCTGTGATGGGCATGCAGCTGTTCGGCAAGAACTATACTGACAACGTCGACCTATTCCCGGACGGCGATCTGCCCAGGTGGAATTTCACCGATTTCATGCACTCCTTCATGATTGTGTTTCGGGTGTTGTGCGGAGAATGGATCGAGTCCATGTGGGACTGCATGCTGGTCGGCGACGTCTCTTGCATTCCGTTCTTCTTGGCCACCGTTGTCATCGGTAACTTGGTCGTAAGTATAAAAGTCACTTGTACGCGTGACACGCAATTTACGCGTACAATTTGTTTCTCTCGTCACTGTGACTCTTGGAGACATTTTATTTGACCCTTTATTAGGCAAACCCAAAAAATTTGAGGAAAAAAAATTGTTGAGTGTCTAAATAAAGTAAATGACGTCTCTTTCGAATGCAGTTATATTATTTTCGAGGTATTTTGAAAATATATTTTCAACGACTTTTGTCATATAGTGGCCAAAATCAAAACTGCTGAGGCACTGATCGACAGAATAGGTGGCCAATGTTGTTTTAGAGCAACAGTGTTAAATAAATGCGTCCTGCGTTTAATATTCTTATATATAACTCATGAGGAGTCAATGTTGTTCGAGAGCAACATTACCAGATAAAAGGTTAAAAGGAAATTACGTAATCGTAAGCTAAAACGAAGCAATTTGCTTCTTTTCTTCGTAAATATGAGACAATGTTTTGGCAGTTGTGCATATTTTATTTTTTATATCTCGATGGATGTATAATTTAATATGTATTTAATATACTGAATTTATACACCGACTGATCTGTCAACTTTGTCACAAACACAGGTGCTGAATCTCTTCTTAGCTCTGTTGCTGAGCAACTTCGGCTCGTCGAATCTTTCGGCCCCGTCTGCGGACAACGATACCAACAAGATCGCGGAGGCGATCGATCGAATAGCACGTTTCATTAAGTGGATCAAGCGAAATGTTCTTTACATTGCTAAGTTGATGCGAGCCAAATTCACCAATCAGATATCCGATCAGGCGCCAGGTGAGGGACCGTCCAACAGTTGGAAAGAAGGTTTATATCCAATCAGATCGCTTGCTGTGTGCGCTGTGTAGTTCGTGGCACTGTTTTTCAGTTTTGCTTTACACTACTTCTCCACACATTTTGCCAGTGCCAGTCGGCGATCGACCAGTAGTAGATCGCGCGAAATATGCAGCGAGACAATATGCGATTCAGGGAGAACAAGAAGGCAAACGTCCGAGCTCGTACGTGTCCTGCGCGACGTTCAAAGCTATTTACTTTTTTTCTCCTCTCGCTTCATCATGGAGACTAATTTTTTTTATCAATTCTTTATTATCGCGACACAATACTGCCGGCTGTAGTGCAAAGCTCCGTAAGGCGTACATTTGTCGACTGGCACGTTTGATTAATTATGCAGACTCCTTCGATTTTATTTGGTTCGCTATTCTGCTTCGTTAAGATCGACATGTTTGTGTTGATGTAACTTTCGTTTACAACTCGATAGCAGCAGTTCTGATTCGCCTCCAAGTCTGATCGGTGATCTTGGATAACACTTTCAATTTCGTAACATCGAAGTCGGGTAGAATAATTTTTCAAAAGTGAAAAGGGGGTGACAGTGTCTAACGTGTGCAGTGGGTTTTATCGCAAGTTAGTTTTGTTTCGCTGATTAGCCGCCTGGCCGTTATACGTTGCTATGCATTTTATTTTGAGAACGCATTCTATTACGTAACTTTGATGATGGAGCTCGTCGTCCAACGGGACACGGATTTACCATTAAGTAGAATTAGACACACATACTTGGGGAACTTGCGCGATGCGTGCTGCGTCTTTGCCTTTAATCGATTTTTCCTTTTGTACTCAAAGAGAACGTTAATTCAGACTCGAGCAATTTTCAATATCTCGCCCGCGCATTTCTGATGAATATTAGTTCGGTAACTATGCAGTAAGAGGAATTTTTTAATTCCTTGGATGATAATTCAGATTGTCTCGTGCACACAGATACGACTGACAGAATCAATGTGTCGAATTCGCCGTCGTCTGTCGGAGATTTTTACATGGAGAAAAATAATTTTGCTCTTTTAGCAAAATCGTCGTTGCTACTGCATATTCGTAGTGACACCAAAAAAATTTAGTTGATGTAATTAATTTTACAAATTATTCGTTATCAGAGCAGAAGTAGTTTCGTTGTTAGAATAGAAAAAATTTGTTGAGTGTATTTGTCCTAAGAATCACGTTAATTTGCTATTGATGCAAAATAATGTATCCTTAGCAAATTTATTTGCTATTGGAGCAAAACTGCAACTGCTTGTATAAACCCATTATGGTTTTTATAGCAAAATAATTTGTAGATTCAGCAAATTATATCCAGCAAATAGTGATTAGTAAATCACTTAGCAAATCTTTTTGCTGTCCATATAATAATGAAAAGATTTTGCTAGTCCAGCAGAAAATTTGCTGGGCCAGCAAATTATTTTTCTCCGTATGATGAGTATTGGTTCGATGCAGTAAGAGGAATTTCTTAATTCCTTGGATGATAATTCGGATTGTCTCGTGCACACAGACACGACTGACAGAATCAACGTGTCGAATTCGTCTATCGGAGAGTTTTACACGAAGAAAAATAATTTTACTCTTTTAGCAAAATCGTCGTTGCTACTGCATATTCGTAGTGACAACAAAAAAATTTAGTTGATGTAACTAATATTACAAATTATTCGTTATCAGAGCAGAAATAGTTTAGTTGCCAGGATAGAAAAAATTTGTTGAGTATATTTGTCCTAAAAATCACATTAATTTGCTATTGATACAAAATAATGTATCCTTAGCAAATTTATTTGCTGTCGGAGCAAAACTGCAACTGCTTGTATAAATCCATCATGATTCTTATAACAAAATAATTTGTAGATTCAGCAAATTATATCCAGCAAATAGTGATTAGTAAATCACTTAGCAAATCTTTTTGCTGTCCATTAAATAACGAAAAGATTTTGCTAAATCAGCAGAAAATTTGCTGGGCCAGCAAATTACTTTTCTCCGTGTATGATGCGCACGATGATGCGGCACGTGTCGCGCGCATTAAAACATTTACAACGCCGATTGCGTAATCACTGTTGACGCACCGTTTCCGATACCGAGTCGTCGATGCCTAATTGAACATAAATAACACCGTACACGATTGCATGCGAACGATGTGGTCATGTTGCTCTGGTTTCTACGACGTGTTGGGAAAACGCGACGGAAAACAATACGCATGTGTACATATATGAAGAGACCAATGTACATACGGAGAGAAAGTGGGAGAGAGAGGAAGAGAGAGAGAAAGGATATTATATCATTACGGCATTCTATATAATTTCGGCGCGTTCCGATTTGTTTTCCGATACGAATTTCCTGATAAGGGCGGGTTAGAGATTTTGTGTGACTGTGCAGATGGAATTGATCGCGATGGGGACCTAGATCTTGCAGATGGAGAATTGGACGCATACAGAGACAAGAAGAGCGCCAAAGAACTCAACCAGCTTGAAGTTGCCATTGGTGATGGGATGGAGTTCACCATTCATGGTAAGCGTATCGTAAACGACAAAGTTGTAACTTGCTCTATTCGACTCGTCGATCCCGAGAACGATTAGCGTGTCTTTCCGACGTAATGCAACGTGCCAAAAACGTGGAGAAACGATTATGAGCGTTCGCGAGGACTTCCTTCCCTTTCCTTCGATCTTTATGTTACCAAAGATAATTCCTCGTAGTTCCTTCGTAGGGTATTTATAAATTCTGCCCTTTTATACAGAAGCTAGGCTTTTTATAAAATCGCTGAATTGATAAAGATTCTGCGACGATAGTCTTGTTATTTTCACTCATACGTTTTAACGTACAAAACGAGAAAAAAATTGTGTGATTAAAATATCTTGAAAAGACTGCAAATATTTTTCTGCAATACAGATATTGAAGAAGAAAAAACATGTGTATTGTCTTTGTGTAAAAATACACAGATTTTCACGTGTATATTTCATATGGCATCGATGATAAAATAGTTACTGTAATATGATTGATATATCGAATCTGATTTCGTTTCCAAAGGAGATTTGAAGAACAAGCTGAAGAAAGGCAAGCTGTGCATGAACAATACGAAGGTTATCGCGAACTCGATAAACCATCACGATTATAGGCTAGACAACGATTACATTAATCAGAACGAGGACGACACGATCAGGTCGGTGAAGCTTTTCCTAAATCGCTCATATGTCTTAGCTGATATCGTCAACATTGTCATTTTCTCACTTGAACATCTCTTCAACAGCAACAAATCATACGGCAGTCACAAAAATCGGGCATTCAAGGACGAGAGTCACAAGGGCAGCATGGATTCGCTGAATGGCGAGGAGAAGAAAGATGCGAGCAAAGAGGACTTGGAACAAGAAGAAGGTAAGCGATTTATCTGGAGCTTCCAAGAGTGAAAACGATGATAGCGCATTAAGAAATGAAAGAGAACTCGAAATACTCTCTACGATCGAATTTTTCGAACTGACGAGTATGTGACATTATTTTTGTACAGATTTGGAAGACGAGGGTGAGGAAGGAGAGGAACTCGACGGCGAGATCATACACGCGGACGAGGACCCGATCCAGTCCAATTATCCCACCGATTGCTGCCCGGAAAATTGTTACAAGAAGTTTCCATTTCTGGCTGGTGACGACGACGCACCGTTTTGGCAGGGCTGGGCGAATCTGAGATTAAAGACCTTCCAGCTGATCGAGAACAAATACTTCGAGACTGCCGTCATCACCATGATCCTTCTGAGTAGCTTGGCCTTGGTGAGAGAGCACGTCTGATTTTGCTAGTTCGCTCTGGACAGAGGCAGCGACAATCGAGCCGACAATTGACCGCGCGATTTGCAGGCCTTGGAAGACGTTCATCTTCAACAACGACCTATCCTGCAGGACATATTATATTACATGGACCGAATATTCACTGTGATCTTCTTCCTCGAGATGTTGATCAAGTGGCTCGCTCTAGGATTTAAGAAGTATTTCACGAACGCCTGGTGCTGGCTCGACTTTATCATCGTCATGGTAAGTCGAGTGTCTTCCTCTTTCTTTCGATCTCTCTTTCTCTCTTTCTCTTCTTTTTTCAATACCGTAACCCAGTTTCTCAAAATGTTTGATTTTGTACAACGTGTGCAATTGACGCGGCGCTTTCATCGTAAAGAATATCTATGCAAAGTAAAAACACAGAAAAGACAAACCAAGTTTTCCAATATGTAGAATTATCGAAGTAACGATAAAACAAGAAGTCGATTGCACACTTGACAAACTATAAGACTTGACTAAATCAACGAGAGGATCTTCTCATTCGCGAATGACTTCATACGCGAATCAGTCAGTCGTCGAGTGGTCGCGTCTCTCATGCATTCGCGTTACTTTGACAAACTGTAAGTGCGATACCGCGACAATCTTATCGATCACTCGTATGTATTCTGTTAACCGATAAAGAAGATAACTCGAAGTCATTCGCGATACGCGCTTGCGGAACAGGACGTGCGTATGTGCCTCGACGAAGAATTCAAGAGCTCTTTACAACTAAAAATATATTCATTCACGACATTAAATATATTTCATCGACGATCGATTATTCTAAATAAACTGACAAGGTCGAGGCACGGACGTTATTTTCCGCTTTACATTACGTATGACGAGTCTTATGCGCGAAAGAAGGAGACCTCTCTCATACGTTCCTCATTTCGTCCCCCTTTTTTCTCTTTTTCTTTCAACTCCCCCGGTTCGTTCCTGAACGACTAAAGCCGACGTGTGCGAAGCGGTATGGGCGTCGAATATCTTCCAGTGGATTTCTCTTAATCGATCGTCACGTAATTATTGTAAGAACCAACTCGCAAATCATGTCTCGTCTGATGAATGTTTGATGAAACTAGCTATCACTGATCAACTTGGGCGCTGTCTGGGCTGGCGCAGCCGACATCCCGGCCTTCCGTTCCATGAGAACACTGAGGGCCTTGAGGCCTTTACGAGCAGTCTCACGGTGGGAGGGCATGAGAGTAAGTCATCGGTCGACGAGGACTTAAGCGATAAAAAAAACAAACGAACAGAGCAAAGAAACTCGCCTGATGCGTTGCGTTATCGCAACCGACGTTCGATGGATCGTACGGAGCTAACGGATCGATCAATCGATCGGTATCACGCACGTTCAATCTCTCTCTTTCTCTCTCTCTCTCTCTCTCTCTCTCTCTCTCTCTCTCTCTCTCTCTCTCTCTCTCTCTCTCTCTCTCTCTCTCTCTCTCTCTCTCTCTCTCTCTCTCTCTCTCTCTCTCTCTCTCTCTCTCTCTCTCTCTCTCTCTCTGTCTGTCTGTCGAGCAGACCCCATTGACGAGGGACTGTCGGTTTTGCATGAGTCGTCTCTTCTTCTCTGACTGTCTCTCTCTCTCTCTCTCTCTCTCTCTCTTCCTCGCAAGTAGTGCCGTCGCGACAATGAGCCGAGGAGCGGAGCCGGGGAACGAGTCGAGCTCGGAGAACAAAGATTCGGTCAATTTCTCGGCCGGTGACATTACGATGACGCATAATTGACAGCACGCGCGATTGACGTTGCATGAGACGAATAGCTCCGCGGGATTCACGCCTGGCAGACTGCCAGTTGTCGATTTTTTTAAGACGAGCCGTGCGAATTATCCTCGGCTCAGCTCCGATCCGCTGTGGGACTCGATCATTTCGATAGAGCACGATATCGATCCGTTGGACGCGGTACGAGGCTTCGGCTTTGGAACATCAGTCCTGGCAAACGAGAGAGAAGGGGTAGAAAAAAAGAAAGGGAAAAAGAAAACGATTATCTCATGGGAAATGTCAAAACGATGGGAGAAACAGCTACGGCGAGTGTAGCTTACTATGGTGTACTATGGTGTACTATGGTGTGCTTACCGATGTGCAGAGATACACTGGCGTCTCTACTTGGTGTCCGCACTGATACTGGAGTCATTGTCGTACTAGCTAAAGTCGCCTATGTACGCCTTTTCTAAGAGTCTCTTGGTACAGTGATCGTTGTGCAAAGTACCATATATATATATATATATATCTATATACAATATACATATATATTACGTATATATATATATGCTTTCTGTGTAATGTAAAAACTTCCTCGTATGTGTGTGTGTGCGTGTTTGCGCGCGTGTGGATGTTATGTGCGTTTGTGCACACAATATGTGATATGTTTATCAGGATCTTTCTTGTGGTTGGAGACAGCATCGCGACGCTCCATCGCGAGCACTGTATGATCCCTACGATCCGCGAAAATTTTCTTTCCTTTCAGATTGACGGAAACATTAACAGCGATGAATAATCGCGAATAATCTAATTTGAATTTTTTCCCCTGTATGTCTCTGTATGTCGTCCTTTTCAACTCGAAGAGTGTGCTCGCGTGGTAGGCGACGCGATCGCAAGTATGACAAACCTTTTCGTCTGTTTCAGGATGCAGCCGATAGTACTTGCTCGTGTAACGATAATCCCTCTACCGAGCTGTTTGTCGTTCTATCTATCTCTGTCTTTGAGTGCGTGTGTGTATATATATAAATGTATCTTCCTACGTACATGTGACGATATATATGCACACACAGGGTCATGTATATCTCCTGATTAACTGTTAACTGCTACGTGTGCCATATACCTGGAATCTCTTTTACGCCTCTATCTCCCCTTCGTTATATATCTGTCGTATCATATTAACGTAGTCTTGCTGTAAGTACCGTTATGCGTCCTGTCAAGTTATTTCGAACATGACGATCGGCTTTCTTGCGCGAGTGATGTGTGAAGTAGTGTCACTTTGCTCGCGACTCTTGTCAAGAATCACACCCGGAAGCCCTTGTAAACGTAATTTGACTTTCAATCACCAATCTCTCAAGATACCGTCGAGATATTGACCACATCACTTTTGCACGAATGTCGAGATATCCTTTTCAGAGGAACGGATTTGTCATGGAAAATCGTGTAAGAACGCGCGGAAGTATCCTTCGTGACATTCATCAGTAGTACACTGAACGGACGATATTTCTCCGTTTTTACATGAGTCCTCGAAAATAGCGGTACTTACGGAAGGGTCATATGATATAATGTACATACGAGTATATATATATACATATTATACATATATATCTATAGATATAGAATTGCGTCTCTGTACAGATGTCCAAAGCTCGATACGTCGAGGAGTCGAAGGAACGCAGTGACACGTCGATCTCGACCATCTGTCTCTTTGTATTCTCTTTCCATCCCGAGCCCTTTCTCTTCGACCCGGCCTTATCCCGTCATCCGTGACGTTTCCGTCGTCACTTGATCAAGTAACCCCCTCGCCCAGTCTGTCTACCTCTTGCTGTGATTCGCTCTCGTTTCTCGCTCGCAGGTATCGCTCATTAACTTCGTAGCGTCGCTCGTCGGCGCTGGCGGGATTCAAGCCTTCAAAACAATGCGGACCCTAAGGGCCCTAAGGCCGCTCAGGGCGATGTCTAGAATGCAGGGGATGCGGGTATGTAGCCCACCGTCTCAGCAGACCTTGTCACTTGCTCCGTGTCTATCTGTAGGACGTGGCACACTGCGCGTCCGTTCAGTTCTGTCGCGGTTGAATAATAACGATCCGCGCCGTTCGATTATATTAATTCCCCTCGTAAAGAAGGGCGAGTACAACGGCATCGCCTGAGATTATTGTCATCGAAGGTATCTCGCATATCGAGAAGATATATCCCGTCGCGAGGAGACCGCTCTTCTCTCGCTACGAGTATCTCTCTTCTCACGGTTGTTTCGTGAACAATCGCGCGACGGGAATGTAAAATGAATTGCGAGAATTGTGCGGAGCTGTACCTCTAACTTACAGGAGAGAGAAGTTTCACTAAATATGCATTATAAGAAAAGTATATTTTTAGAGAATATGATTTATGGCACGCGGTTATTCGGAATATTATTAAGTCGCGAACAGAATGCGAGAACATCATCGCGTTTCCTCTTCTTTTATTTTAACAACTTTGCGTTGAATTGACGCGCGAAGAAAATTATAATTGAAATACTTGCATTTTAGTGAAACCAATACATGCCCGTTTTGAGTCGAGTTTTAGGTGTGAAATAATCGCGTGTTAGCCGAAGAATTAACGGTGACTTATGGTTAGGTTAGGACCTATGGATAGGTCGTTTCTAAAATCGATGGGATACCCGCGAGTATTGGAGAGAATCGTTTGATTTATGATTTTTATGTTGTCATTCGTTTTTGTATTTGTCGTGTTACAAAAGTTGCAAATCGAAATATTCAATGATACTCGGCGATGTCGACTCTTATCGATGAGCGACTGGGACAACAACGTCGGTCCTACGTTCTCTCCTATTGCACGTAAACATGCTGAAATAGAGCAGTCGCGAATGCACCGCCGCTTAAAAATGCGTGAGGCAGCGTGTAGATAATACAACGTCCATAATTGGCCGACACTCACGAGAACACGCATATATAGAGAGACACGCGCTTCTTTTATATATATATATATATATATATATATATATATATATATATATATATATATTTATTTATATAGACACTTAATAATAGTTGTTGCTTGAAACTTGTTTCAGACGTGAGATGCTCAGATTTGAATTTAGAGTTAGATGTGAATCCTTTAGCTGAATCGCGATTACAAACAAAATATCGCACATGTGATTTAAATTTAAAAAAAAACTGAAATCTAATTCTAAATTCAGATTTGATCAGACAAACTTCAAGTAACGACTATTAATACGGTCACAGACAAGTATTGATAGTTATTATTTGAAATTTGTTTCAGATGTGAGATGCTCAGATATGAGTTTATATTTAGATGCAAAATTTTCAGCTAAATTGCGCGATTGCAAATGTAATTTTGTATATATTGTGATTTAAATAAAAAAACTCTAATCTAATTCTAAATTCAGATTTGAGCATTTCACGTGAAACAAGTTTTAAGTAATGTCTATTAATACGAACCTTAATCACTGATGTACGAGTCGTTCCATCTTATCTTCACGCGCGAAAACGCTTATGCGTAAAAATGAGTAAAATGCGCAAGAGACATAATGGAGCATCTCGTATATCTGACTTCTCTTCCACGAACGTGATCCACGATGATAGTGCGTGTGAATAAAATCGTATACCTGGATACATTGTAGAAACTCGTCATACATGAGAACGTTAGGCACGAAGATCCCTTTTATTCATATCGCAATTTAGGAATTGGCAATCGCCGAAACTCGCAGAGTTTCGTTCAGAGCCGTATTAACAGTCATTACTCGAGACTTGCCTCAGGTGAGTTACGTAGGCTCGTATTAATAGTTGTCACTTGAGACTTATCTCAAGTGAGGCAGATTTTTATTCAGAGTTTGATTAAAGTTTTTTTCAGTTGATTTATGATATATTTATGATATGACATTTATATATCTATAATCACGATTCGATCGAAAAATTGTCATCTAATTCTGAATTCAATTTTGAATATCTTACTCGAGATGAGTTTCAAGTAATAACTATTAATACGGGCCTTAGATTTGAATTTCAAATTAGATATGACTTTTTCAACTAAATCGCGATTACAAATGTCATGTCGTGCATATTATATGATCTAAATAAAAAACACAAATCCAATTCTTTAAAGTTTAGAGAATTTAGAGTTTTGATCTGAGTATCTTGATCTGAGTATTTTTCATCTGAGTATCTTGATCTAAGTATCTTTGATCTGAATATCTTGATCTGAGTATCTTGATCTGAGTATCTTTGATCTGAGTATCTTGCATGGGACATATTTCAAATAACGACAATTAATACGGACCTTGATGTCGTATGTAATATATCGTTCGGTATCGAACGGTCGTGTTCGCGATCGAGATGTGCGATATGAATATATGCGAGGCATCACCTTTTATTCACATCTTTTTCACAACGCAACGTAGTGGGTAGTTTGCGCCCCTTTGCGATTGCCACGATGAATCGCAACAAGAACGCGTCTTCTCGCAAGCACTCATACAACATACTCGCAACACAAGGTCGCTGAGACACTGGGTGTAGTAATTACTGTCATGCCCACGCCCTGACACTTCTTTCTCTATTTTACAGTAGTTCGCTGCAAATGGCTCCTCGGAGCGTTCAGCATTTTAGTTCTTGCGTTTTCTTTTTTGCACGAGACCACAAGGATAGAGAGATGCAATTGTCACTAGATTTATTGCATTCATGTGTTCCCCGGGAACTTTCCATTCTCGCTTTTCTTCCCTTTTTTCTTTGATCAAACGAAGCTTTGGTCAAACGAATCGGTCGTACTTTATGAAAACGAACGACTTGCGTTTCACGGAAGGTTGGTTCGCCTCGTCCGACAATTCTGGGGAACATATTAATCGCATGTATCAAACCAAGATTTTCAGCTATTTCCCTTTTTTCAAGTATTATATACCGAATGTCCTAAGAGAGGAAAAAAGGAGTACTGAACTCTCGAAGAAATTCGCAGTCGAATTGTCGACGGGAAATTTTGATCTCTCGACGAATATTTTGACGATCGCTCCTCGAGCAAAATTAAGAAGTTATGCTTCTTTTGTCAAATTATATCAAGGATGCATAATTTGGCTTTGAGTGTGTGGCGCTAAAATCAAGAAAGAAACTGCTTATGCCCAATATATTGGCTAAGAGAAAACACTCGATAAAAAGAAAATTTATTCCAAACAGGCTCGATAAAAAGCCACGTTTTCTGGGATATTTTGTATATAAGCTGCTTAGTGTCTGCAACGGAATTCTTGGGTCGCTTAGTAGACGTGAATGCCGAATGCTTGTTGCTTCCGTCAGCTTTTCGTTCGTGCTGCAACTTGCGCTCGCTTTACGTGTCGGACTTGCATGCGGCTGCTTTCTGTAGTGTATGCATGTATACGAGAGAATCGTGAAATTATAAACCACACGATGCGTACCACCACTGATCCACGATCTATCGAAGTCACAGTCACACTAGTTTAATCGACTATTACTTTTAATACTTCCCACAGAACAATTGCATACACACTAGAACAATAAAAGAAGGAATAAAAAGAAAAAGTCGAATATCTAAATCACACTAGTGAGAATAGAGAATTATATATTATGAGAACATATAAGTTCTTCATTAAATTTAATGTACGTATTGTTAAGTGGCAATGAAGAGTAGATATCAGATATATTGTATCTACCGATGGAAGAGCGACAATTAGTGTGTGTGCAAAGCAAAGATCAACGCAGGACACTCGAAACCTCTCTGTTCGATTTTTAATTCGTTTGGTACCTATCTGCTTACAATGATCACACTTTATATCTCAATTCGGTCAATCGACACATTAGAGCTACTTATTCCAAGACGCTTGCAAAGTCGAAGCATCACGCACAGAATCAAGCTACTGCACAGAGGAACGCAACATGTATAAGTGAACGCGACACGATCGGACTTTTATTGTCGTGTTGGTTGCGGTTATTAAATGATAGAAAATTTTTCTTTTGCAAGGAGAGCGCGTAAATCTCTTTTTTTCATAAATTTCTACAAATTAACCATTACGTTCGTTTATATATTGGCGAGAAGTTTCGTTTCTGTACGTTAAGACGATTAGCTTTCTTTGTGTGTTAAGAGAGAATCGGAGATACACGTTTCAACAAAATCTCTTGCGTTTCTGATCGTGATACTAAGCACAGCACGCGTATAGCGCGTGGCACAGTCGCATAGTTGCGCATAAAAGTGCATACCTAGATGCCATAAATGAGGCCTGGAACTGGCGAACAGTTCGCGTGTGATGACGCATTTAATCAAACTTCGTCTCTCATAGGTAGTCGTTAACGCCTTGGTCCAAGCCATTCCATCCATCTTCAACGTGTTGCTGGTATGCCTTATTTTCTGGCTTATATTCGCTATCATGGGAGTGCAGCTGTTCGCTGGCAAATATTACAAGGTAAGACTCCGACTGGGACGACCGTTACTTTCCAAGGCACGTTATCCAAGATCCACGACACTCGAAGGGAGATTTCATCACGCACGACTAATGTTGCAGTGTGTCGACGCGAACAAGACGACGCTCAGCTTCGAGATAATACCTGACCGTAACGCCTGCTACGCTGAGAATTACACGTGGGAGAATTCGCCGATGAACTTCGACCACGTCGGCAAGGCGTATCTGTGCCTGTTCCAAGTGGCGACTTTCAAAGGGTGGATCCAGATCATGAACGACGCGATCGATTCCAGGGAGGTGAGTACAAGTCTTCCTTTCCTTTCACTTCCTTCCCTTCCTCTGATTCTAACGAGTGGCAATCGGTTTACAGATCAACAAGCAGCCGATTCGCGAGACGAACATTTACATGTATCTCTACTTCGTGTTCTTCATTATATTTGGATCGTTTTTTACCCTCAACCTGTTCATCGGTGTGATCATCGACAACTTTAACGAGCAGAAGAAGAAAGCCGGCGGTTCCCTCGAGATGTTCATGACGGAAGATCAGAAAAAGTATTACAACGCCATGAAGAAAATGGGCAATAAAAAGCCTCTGAAAGCCATTCCTCGGCCGAGGGTAAATTACAAAAGCCACATTATTTACATGCGTGTGGATGAACGCGGAGCATAACATACAGACATATTCTCTTGTCTTCCCTGAATATAATGCTTCAGACAATTGAGTTGTTTCGTGACTCGTTGTCGTAGCGAGAATTTCGTGAGCTTCTGAGTCATAAGTCGTGATATTTAGTTGACATTATGCTCTTTTACGATTGTTCACAGTGGCGACTGCAGGCGATAGTGTTTGAAATAGTGACGGACAAAAAGTTCGATATGATAATCATGCTGTTCATCGGGCTGAACATGCTCACGATGACATTGGACCATTATCAACAGAGCGACACGTTCAGCAACGTTCTAGACTATCTCAACATGATATTCATTGTGATATTCACCAGCGAGTGTCTCTTGAAGATCTTCGCTCTGCGCTACCACTACTTCAAGGAGCCGTGGAACCTCTTTGATTTTGTTGTTGTTATATTGTCAATATTAGGTAATGTAACGTAATGGTTGCTACAGTCGTATGACCCGAGCGAAATGACCGAATGTGCGAGAGAGAGAGCGGCCTGTTAGCTTCCCTTTCTTCTCTCTACTTGATACACGAGAATGACACATGTCTCTTCGCCTCTTTAGTACACTCATAGTGTAGTGGCGTCCTTACAATCTCTCTCACGAACAAAAATCGAATATCAGCATGCCACGCTGTCATGAACCACCGCCATATTTTTAATGCACGCAAGAACGATTAAACTGAAGCGTACAGGCCCAACGTTTCGCTCGTGTCTCAACGACTGATGGATATCATTACGTTACGTAGCCTTACATTGATGTTCAATTTTACCTGAGCCCGCCAGCCCTACTTGACCTCCACCTAGCCCACGTGACCCTAATCGTGTCCTATCAGATTGTTAACTAGTATCTCGAGTCGGATCGCCGAGTTTAGCGTTACCTCGTGCCGCGTACTTTCGAATGGATCATGAATAATGTTAAGAAAAGAAATCATGTACTGTCGAGAAAATACGATTTTTTGGATTTCGCTGGCGATCGCGATTGACATGTCAGCGTCCTGACTGAATTAAGGGATGCTTTATTAATCGCCACGACGTAACGCTTTGCGCGAGCCGTTTGACACGTTGATCGATGTTGCAAGAATCGTTAATCGAAGTGTCGGGTAAGATCGGGTCTGTATATAAAGTAGGATTCCTAGAATCTCTCATTCGTCGTCCGAAGAGTATTTTTGACGAGGAATGCTATAGATCACGATTTTAGTGGCTCGATTTTCAAATGACCATAGTTCAATTTTGTTTTCATGTATACATATTCAAGATTATCTTTCATATGCAGCACCGCATACATTTCTTTCTGTCTTTCGATTAGACTACGATAGAGCTTTCATACGTTTCGTTCGTTTCGATATTCGCTTCCTATAAGTTCGCGAAGTTACTGTCTGAATCTCTCGAGAATCCAGCATTCGAGTCCTTAGGACGTGCATGAACATCTCAATAATTTACGATTTTCGTTTCTGTAGATCATGTCTACGGCGCACAATACTTTCTTAGAACGGCAGATGTGCCAAGTTTAAATGTTCGTAATTATTTCGCGAGAATTTATGTATATTTTTCATCGGAGAGAAACTTGAGATTTCTTTCACGTGCCATAGTTCGTGCCATCTTCTGTGTGCCATAGTCTGCAAAAAGTACAAATGATTTTATAGAAATCGTCTATATATATGTGTATGTGTATATCTGGAACCTTACATCTTTTTATAGATCGCACCTTACTCATTTAGAAACACGATAATTAAGTCATTCTAACGCATGCTTCGAATATTGATAAATCCCGATTAGCCCGACGATGCACGAAAATTGAGCTAATTGTACATTATGCATCGTGACAATATCACCGCACCCTACAGCTTGACCTCGATGTTAAATTAGAGCTCAATAAGTCATGATTTTGAGATGCACTCTCGTTTCGACAGGTCTGGTACTCAGCGACATCATCGAGAAATACTTTGTGTCGCCGACTTTGCTTCGTGTAGTGAGAGTGGCGAAGGTTGGTCGCGTACTTCGACTCGTGAAAGGTGCCAAGGGTATCCGAACCCTTCTCTTCGCCCTGGCGATGTCGTTGCCGGCCCTTTTCAACATTTGCCTACTGCTGTTTTTGGTGATGTTTATCTTCGCGATATTCGGGATGTCCTTCTTCATGCATGTCAAGGACAAGAGCGGATTAGACGACGTGTACAATTTCAAAACGTTTGGACAGTCGATGATACTGCTGTTCCAGGTAACCATTTTTTCCATTTCTTTCTCTCCTCTCTATCAGATGATAATTTCATTCCATACGAGATACATCTCTCTTTCTTTCTCTTTATCGTTTAATATATCTAAAACAATATAATCTCATTCTTCGCGGGATTCTCTTAACTTTCAGAGCATTTTTCTAAAACCAAAAGGAAAATATTCTAGCAGCCAAAAAAAGAGCTCTAATTGCAAGGTGTTATTTCCTGTAATCCCATGTTCTCTAAGCGAAATCTTTTACCTAAAGAGTATTGCTCTCCTAACGAAGTGAACTATTAATTGAAAATTTAAATTAATTATCTCAACTTTTTTTTTCTTTTTGAATCAAGAGGAATGAAATTGCTCGAAGCAGAATGCCTTCCGAACAGAAAATATTTCTCTGAAGGATAGGACTTATAGAAAAAAGACGAAATTTCTTCAGCTTTAAGAACACTATGCTTAGGACATTTTTCTTTTGGTTTTAGAGAAATACTCTTGAGACCGTGGAGGAGATTTTCAATTGAAGTTGAGATTATATTTGTTAAAATATCTAATCTAGATTTATACGGCATTACATCGAAAAAAATGAGTGTCTGACGCATCGTCCTCTAATTACGTGTTGCAGATGTCAACGTCGGCCGGTTGGGACAGTGTCCTCGATGGTATAATAAACGAGGAAGATTGCCAGGAGCCGAACAATGAAATCGGCTATCCCGGCAACTGTGGGTCCTCGACGATCGGGATTGCTTATCTCCTCTCATATCTCGTGATCAGCTTCCTGATCGTCATCAATATGTATATCGCCGTGATCCTCGAGAATTACTCGCAGGCCACAGAGGACGTGCAGGAAGGTCTCACCGACGACGACTATGACATGTACTATGAAATTTGGCAACAGTTCGATCCGGACGGCACGCAATACATCAGATACGACCAGCTCTCAGACTTCTTAGACGTATTGGAGCCCCCGTTGCAGATACATAAGCCCAATAAATATAAGATCGTGTCGATGGATATTCCCATATGTAAGGGTGACCTTATGTTTTGCGTGGATATCCTCGATGCCCTCACTAAGGACTTTTTCGCACGGAAGGGCAATCCAATCGAAGAGACCGGCGATCTGGGCGAGGTGCAGGCGCGACCCGACGAGGTCGGCTACGAGCCGGTCTCGTCCACATTGTGGCGGCAGCGCGAGGAATACTGCGCCCGACTCATACAAAACGCTTGGAGGAAGCACAAGCAGCAGCGTCTTGGCGGGCCAAGCGAAGAGAGCGACGACCCGGACACCGATCCGCGTGTCAGGCAGACCGCGGTGTTGGTCGAAAGCGACGGTTACGTCACGAAGAACGGTCATCGCGTCGTCATACACAGCCGATCGCCGAGCGTCACCTCGAGAACCGCGGACGTCTGATCGCCATCGTCGTCGCCGCCGCCGCCGCAGCAGCAGCAACAGCAGCAAACGTCGTCGCTATCGCCGCCGCCGCAAGAGTCGCAATCGCCGCAGCCGCAGCCACCGCCGCCGCCGTCCGTGCGCAAACCGCTCTACCGCAGCAGCAGCCGCCGCAACAGCAGCAGCAGCAGCAGCAGCAGCAGCAGCAGCAGCAGCAGCAGCAGCAGCAGCAGCAGCACCAGCAACAGCAGCAGCAGCAGCAGCAGCATCGTCGACGACGACGATCACGCACCGTCAGCCGCTCGCACTGCTCGCGCGGAGTAGTGGCCGGGCGGGCCTCGCGTGCGCTCTACATCGACAGCCTTATAGTTATATAAATACATTTCTCCAACGAGTTGCCTTTAATCAACATTGAACGCCACGACCGTTGGGAGAGAGAGAGAGGGAGAGAAGGAAGGAGTATAAGAGAAAGAGAGAGACACGTCGCTAGATAGATGAGCGTCCGTACACGAGAGGAGCGACTGCGCCCAAAGATTCACGCGGTTATGAGCGGAGAAAGTGTTGCATTCGCGCGGACACACGCAAGTTTGGCGGCACGGCTGCAATCGTCGCGTGGCGTCCGGATCGAAAAGAGAGGCGCGAGAGAGGGGGAGAGAGAGAGAGAAAGAGCGAGCGCCGACGGCACGTTCGCAGACGTGCGAAGAAGGGAGACGAGGAGAACGAGAAGGAGCACGAGGGGGTCGATGCGTCGCAACGTCCTCGACGAGCCGACTTCCCCATATCGAGACTCGTGGAGTGATGTCGCGACGCGGCTAGAGAGCGTTGCGCCCCAGGTGGGCCGCGCTTGCCTCTGCTCCTCGTCGTTGAATCGAGCGGTAGTAGTAGTAGCAGTAGCAGCAGCAGCAGCGACGACGACGACGATGACACGATCCGCGCGGACCGCGTTAGCGTTCTTTAGCGTTAGCCGTGCGCGCGACCGCGCGCGCGACCAGCCCGGCCGCGCGCGCCGAGGCGGCCGTGCGAGCAATTCGGCGCGCGATCATACTTCTACACTATCTTGTGAACACTTGTTAGCTCAATCTATCGCGAATTCTATCCGCCGTTTGGATTTTTTACACCGTTTTACAGCAGTAACCCGCCTACTTGCTCCCGCGCGACGCCTCGACGCGCCGACCGGAAAGTAGTGCGGCTTTTTTCGGTATAAGTGCTACGGAAGAGAGAGAGAGAGAGTGTGTGTGTGTGTGTGTGTGTGTGTGTGTGTGTGTGTGTGTATGTGTGTCTGTGAGAAAAAGAGAGAGAGAAAGAATAGAATGTGTGTGCGTGTGTGTGAGACATTGTATGATCGCAGGCCGGATGGCAAGAACGAAGCACGAACGAATGTCGAGACGATGATAACGTTGACTACAATGATATTGATGATAAAATAATGTTCATGTTATTGATGATGATGATGATGATGATGATGATGACGACGACGACGGCGACGTCGATACCGACGTATCGACCGTCGCTTTCGGTGATCGGTAATTCGACGAAAGAAAGGCGAGCGAGAGACAGTTCGCCGGTAGAAAGGACTCACTCGTAAAAAATGTACGCGTAGTTACTACATTCGCTCGGCTTGCATCTCTCGCGAAACGATGCGCGAATTCGCTTGATCGCGCGCCGCTTATTTCCACTCTCCCCCCCCCCCCCTCCCCCCCC